ATTTTATTGGCACAATTCAGTGTTTTAAGGTTCTGTTGGGTGGCCAATATGTTTCAGATACTGAAACTGTGCTTGAGATAGGGGAATAAGACACAGTCTCAGCCCTCAGCGACCCAGGTCTAATGGGAAATGTGATAGACATAATGCAGTAGGCATGACATGGTGCTATAGCAGACGTCCATACACAAATCACGTTTGAGAAAAGAGGAAATTTATAGGGAGAGTATAGAGATGATGCTTCATGGAGAAATAGAGTAGTGAAAGGAGGAGTCAAAAGGGGACCACTTATTAAGGCACCAACAGACCAACTATCTGCGAGACTCGACGCAGTGACAGTATAGGAAAATAGCAGTAAGAGAGTAAAATGGCTAGGGAGATTAGAGATGATGAGAGATTAGGTCCAGGAGATGGACACGCGAGTGGGTGTTGACCTACAGCAAAGGTTAAAGTGCTAGGAAAGCTGGAATTGTCATTCACGTAGTATTTGAAGTTCCCCCAAAATGATGGCAGGTGTGGCTGTCAAGGGGAATACTTTATAGATCAATTTGCATGACCTACATAGGATCTTTACATCCCACTCCACCAATATCCTACTCTGATGTTCCAGTTCTTGGTGAATATCACCTGGCATTCATCCAGTTGCTCATGCTAAAATCCTTTTAGTCATTCTCAATATTTTCTTCTTCTCTACCTCTATGGCTTATGCATCACAAATTATAGTGATACTACATCCCCTCCACTCCTCCATCACCTCTGTCAGCCCCATCATCAGACAGTAGTACTTGTGGAATTTCTACATGGTCCTGACAGTTAAACAAATACAGTTGAACCTTGAAAAATGCAAGGGTTAAGGGCACCAAATGCCTTCTCAGTCAAAAATCTACGTACAATTTCAAATCCCCCAAATAACTACTAATAGGCTTCTGGTCAACAGTAGCATAAACTCATAGCACAAAAAGTAAATAACACATATTTTGTATGTTATATGTATTATATACTGTATCCTGACAGTAAAATAAGCTAAAGAAAAGAAAACGTTATTAAGAAGACCCTAAGGAAGAGAAAATACATTTATTGTTCATGAAGTGGAAGTAGATCATCATAAAGGTCTTCATCTTTGTCATCTTCACACTGAGTAGGCTGAGGAAGAGGAGGAAGGGGAGGGGTTAGTCTTGCTGTCTCAGGGGTGGCAGAGGTAGAAGAAAAACCTGTGTGTAAGGGGATCACTCAACCCAAACCGGTGTTGTTCAAGAGTTGACTGTATCTGGTTATTATAACTCAATTATATAACAGTGCATGTAATTTTATAAAAGTACATAAATTATTTCACATTGTTTTATGAATTTCAATATGTCTGTCTTTACAATACAATGAGATCTTGTATATGTTGGATGAGTTCCATGCAATGAGTCATTAAAGAACCCCCAATACCAGACGAATGGGGAGAATTTCAAGGGTGTTCAGTGATGCGTTGACAAAAATAAGTTGAGTTTATTCTGGAACAAGTGAATGTTTGGTTTTGTGGCCCCATGTCATCATTAAGACAGTTAACATTATATATCATACTTTGACATTTTTAGAAGAAAGATATTATTTAAAATAATGATATTAATTTTAGTATTATTATTTTTCTTGACATTGTCTTTATTGTCTTGTACTTAAACTTTACACAATTACATTAATAGGTGTGGTATTAAGTAGTGGAGCAATTGCTAACTAAAAAAAGCCATTTAGGTGAGGAAACTTTATGAATATTACATATACTTTCCTGAAAACCAGAGAAAAACATCATGTACTGTTCTGTCAAGACAAAGTGATACTTAAGTGATCCTTTTAGGGTTTTGTTCTTTTTAACCTGGTTGGTAAAGAGAATAATTTGAATTGTTCTTTTTAATAGTACAGTTCAACAATACAATGAAATGTCAATACGTCAGAAAATGAATTAATGATAATTGTTAGGAATTATAGTCTAGGCAACCTCTGAAATTGGAATGCAAAGTAGGCTTCTAATTATTTTTACAAATTTAACCAGAGGGATGTTTTCACCTCAGTTAGTTGCTTGCAATATTTAACTCTCCTCAAAGCATCAAGGTATATAAGCATCTGAGTACTGGGAAAAGTAAATTAAAATCCCACTGTCAAAAGGGACAGGAAAAAGTATTGGTCAAAGATCAGGAAGACCTCTTTAGTTTTATTCCTGGTGAAGAAAATTACCAAATGGTCATTATCAAATCTTAAATGTTCAGCTTTGCTTCATATTCCTTTAAGGACAACCCTTAGGGAAAATGTTCTCAGATTATCTGTGTTACTCACCCACATCAAAAACAATGATTAGTTAATACCAATTTGATGGTGAGTACAAATGGATCCCGTTCTGCTGCTCTTGTGGTGCACA